AGTTTGGCTTTTGGAGGGCGCCCAAGTGAGGCTGCGCCTGGTACTGAAAAGCGCAAGGCAGGCAGAAGAGTTTGTATAGTTCGGACTACCATCGGGTTGATACGCTAGATGTGTGACCTTTAGCGAGGCGCTTTAACTCTCTGGTTCTCCCACTTTCATCCCCGGCGAGGGAGCTTGTATTTCATATGTCTCAGAGCAGGAAGGATTTAAGTCAGCTAAAGTTTTCGAAACTTCTGACGAGAGGCCTGACATCAGGTTTCTCCCATTCCCTCCAGCTCGTGTCCACGAGGCCAGGGGCAAAAGACGAGAGGGGTGCTCAGTCGGTGGGCAGAGCGAGGGGAAATTTGGGGCAGTCTTGCCCGCACCGCGGTGGGCCGAGCCGGGGTGGAGGACCTTGGTCCGGGCCCCTGGAGCCTCAGGGTCTGCTTGACATCTCCAGGCTTAAATAACCGTGCGCCTTTGTTATTCGTAGGCAGCAAAGTGGTTCGTTACGCCTGATTGGTCTAATTGCTTTGAAATGAGATATATTATCTATAATTATAGAGTCCTGGTAGGAGCCGGCAGGCCTCTGCTTTCATCTTCCCCAAGTGCGCCCTCAAGTCCCGATCGCATTAATTTGCGCCATTTGAAGAGGGAGCTCCCTCTTCCGCGGATCCTGGCCCCTCACCCCACCCGAATTTAAAGACACAAGAAAGCCAGGCCGAAAAAGTGGGACCCAGAGCATATGGGGGATGGGCGGAAAAGGGGCAAGAAGCCGCAGACTCCAGTTGCCAGTTCCTCGGGGTGAATTCGCAGGACGAACGCCCTAACCTCCGAAGTCAATGAGTTCGCAAGAAAGGGAAAAACACCTTCCAGGAAGGGCTCCTTCGGCAGCCCCAGTTCGAGCGCTAAGGACTCTGCAAAAGTTTGGTCAAAGTCCTTGGAAAGCCGAAGCAATTTTTTTTTTTTTTTTATTCTTTATCGCTTCTGCATCTTCTGGAGCTGAAGTTTTTGTTTGTTTGTTTTCTAGTTCTAAACTGTGGGTCTTGTCCTTGGAAAGCTTTGAAATCTTCCCTGAACGACTGAAATTCCCAGGCAATTTCTCAAACATGACTCCTAGTCCCCCACTGAAAGGCCACAGAGGCTGGGCGGCGATGGCACAGAAGAGAGGGCCTCTTCGGAGGTTAGCAGATCCCCGAACGAGGCTTTCTGTCCATCCATCAGACCCCACCCCCACCCAGGGACAAAAACACCTCTTCCCTCTCTCTCTCCGCTGCCCTCCCGGTGATTGGTGAATCCCCACAAAAATAAATCGTTCCGGGTAATCGGTTTTCATAGCACATCCATTCTATTAAAGAAGACTGTTTGGGGCTAGCTAATTGCCGGCGGATCCCACTGAGCCACACATTTTTTTTTTTTTAAACGTGTGCGGGGTTCCTGGGCAGAGGCCACAAAATGCACTGGAAAGGGGGGGGGGGTTGGATTGGGGGTGACAACAAACGCGGTAGTTAAGGCCAGCTCGGAGGAAGATACTCAGGTATAGTTAACAACTACCTTTAAGACTGAGATCCTCTACAAGTTGCTTTTCTGCCCCCGGGAAAGAAGATACCTAGGAACCATTTTCGCAGCCGTACCCCACCCGTCCTACAGTCCAGTAAAACAAGCGTTTTGGTTTGGGGGGGGGGGGTTTACACCAATGAGAGTAGCGGCCCAGACGCTAACCGCGGGACAACTAATTCTTAGGACGTTTTATTTTATTTTATTTTCCCCGAGACAGGCGTGCCTTGGGGTGCAGGAGACCAGGGGGAGACCGAGCGAGGGGGGAGGGGAGAGGAGTCAGCCAGGCTGCAGGCAGGGCGCCGGTCTCAGAGTTTTATCTGCCGCGGGCCAGCCCTGCCCTTGCCAGGCATGAATTACGGTCGGTTTTCTCCGCTGCCTGCAGCGGCCGCGTCGGGGTAGCAGCGCCTCGGGTTGGCGCTGCCCCCAGATAACAAGCGCAGCCTATACTGTCAACTCCCTGAACCGACAGGCCGAAAGACCCGCAAAAAAAAAAAAAAAAAAAAAAAAAAAAAGCCAGACAAAAATGAGCTCCGAGACTGCCGGCTCCGTCGATCCCTTGCCTTTCCTTCTTCGGGAGCGAACCACATGAGGGCCGGGGCCCGGGGGGCCGGAGAACAGGCTTTATTTCGTCCCCCCCCCCCCGACTCTCTTCCTCAGCGTCGGGCGACCCTTTGCTCGCGGAGCCCAGGGGTAGAGTTCAGCGGGGGTGGGTCCTGCGAGAGCGCCACCCGAGAGCGCCTTCGGGTCCGATCCCCCGCGCTCGGCCGAAGCGCTCTCCTAGCCTTGCAACCTTTGCAACCCGCTAACCCCTACGTCCGTACCAGCCAGACTGCTGTAGACCCGAACCCCGAACGTACACCGAACCCCCTAAAAGTGACTGTGGGATTTGAGACCTACTCTAAAGAGTCGAGGGGCAGAACGTAGGGCTCAGGGCTTCGGGCGCAGGCGGTTAGCACCCTGGAGGCAGGGGCGCGACTTCAAGGGCCCCTGCGCCGGCTGCAGCCTTTGATCCGGCCGCCGCTGGCGCCTAAAAACAACATCCTCGTCTGCCTATTAGGCGCGCTGAGGGATCGTGACAGATTGTTTATCCCCGCAATTAGCGATGCAGCCCTTCCCAGGACTCCCCCTCCCCGGCCCGAGGCTAGGTCTCTCCGCTCCGACCGCTGCGCACGCCGTGAGTTCCGCTGAAGACCCCGGTGCGCCCCGGGGGCCCCCCTACTCTTGGGATTCGAGGTCCCCTCGGCCCTGAAAAACGGAATTCAGGCTCGGGGCCGGTTCACGAGTCCTTGATATCGTCTACACATTTGCGTGTAATGTGTTTAAGCCGATGTGCATTTTTCAAGGGGGGAAAAAAAGATCGTAGCAACATCGGATTCTCCGATCTCTCCCAGAAGGGAATCCTTTTGAGTTGAAGACCGCGGTGGAACAAGTGAAAACACCTATCTTTTTGACAGTCCCCTTGTTTGAAAACAAAAACAAAAACAAAAACAAAAACACAAAAAACGCTGGCCTAAAAAAAAAAAAAAGGCACTTGGGAGATTGATTTCCACTTCTGTTTTAACCCCTAACGCCGAAGGAAAATTGGCTAACGCTGCAGAACGAGTCGATCTAGCAACAGCTTAATTAGTTCTCAAGCGCAAGAAGTTCGCCGTCCCCTCTAGGCTTCGAGCTAGGCGTTTGGCCTACACTTCTGCTTAGCTTTCGTTTGCAGGGCTTTAAAACGGCATGGCATGGCTTGCACTTCTCACAGACCATGGAACAAACCTCCGGGCACCCAGTACACCCATCGTCCAGCTAGGCCTAAATGAGTTTGAGTCTGAAGCTTTGCTCAGCGCCCGCTCAGCAGCCTCTGATACGTAAGAAACCCGGACATTTCACAGAAGCGAGTATTCCCGAACCCGCCCCGAGGCCTTGCTATTTTTCCAGGCCCTGTGGGCAGATGTGAGACTCCGATCTCTCAGGCGTCCGCAGCCCGACCCCTCCCTCCAGACCCCGGACGCCGTCTGGGTAATAAAGTAATTCATTTTCCTTAATCTGGTCGCCCCTAATCTACAGCTTTTTATTGCGCCCAGTTAAAAGGCCAGGGAATTCGCTATCCCTCCGTGCTCGGATAATTACCCCTAAATGGCCACGGCAGCCCCTTGTGTTTCCTGGAGATTAGAGCCCGGCAGTCATCAATGCCCAGTCCCGGTGAGCCGCCAATCACCTCCTCCAACTCCCCCGGAGCCGCGGGCCTGGGCCCTGGGATAAGAGACCATAAAAAGAAAAGCCCCCCAACCCCACAACAGCCTGTCCAAACCCAGTTTACAAGATCTTCCGTGCCACCCCCCCAAAAAAAACTTTCCTTCTTTTTATAACAGCCAAAATAAAAGCACGTCTCCTTCGAAATTCGAAATTCGGCAAGCAAAACTTCTTAAACCTTATACCAAAGATACGCCGCCAGGAACTGCTCTCTTACTTCTGCCCCTTCCTCAAACGGACCTCCACCCTCCACCAGCAAAGACCCGGAGTTAGTGAAGTGTGATTGTTTTTGAGGACTCATCTTCTGAGGTCATGTTGAGGCCAGATCGGCGTTTTGCGGGTGGGTTCTGTTAGTTTTATTTCGATCAGTTCTCTATCCAAGGGATCCAGTGGCTCCTTTGGCCGGCAGTTTTCTGCTAGAGGTGTAACCTTCTAGAAAAAGTCCGGGGGGGGGGGCGGTACATGTTTCTATGAAAGCCAAAAGCATTTTCCTGACCACGGTTACACGTTCTTGTGCGCACAGAACCAGCAGGACCCAGGCTTCCTTTGAGAAACTTGGCCAGCCCTTAGAGACAAATTTTACCACGAGGTAAATTTTCGAAGATTGGAAGACACAAGATGCGAGACGTAGGTTTATTTTATTTTATTTTTTTGAAGAAATTAGTATTATCCCTTTCTACTCTGACGAATAACCATAAGCATCCAACACAAATACCAAAAGAAATTTTAAGTGACCTAAAGTAAAACCTTCGTGGTCGAGAAAGGGGGCCGAAGAGGGAAGGGGGACAGAAAGAAATAGCAATAGACCGTAAGAGAACCGGTAGAGGAAAGAGAGTCGACTATGGAGGGGAAAGGAAGAAGTAAGGGACGGTGGAGGACGACTAGGGCAGGCGAGACGGGCTGATAAAGGAATAGTCCCTCTGGAACTTGGTAAGATCTACACCCAGGGGGACCCAGGTGGGACAGATGCCCACCGGGCTCAGCCGGGCGGAAAGGCTCCCCCAGGTACCTCCGGCTCTGCCCTGGCTATGGGGCCGGGCCCTGCCCAGAGCGCCCCCGGGCCGGGTGCGCCTCGGGGCAGGAGCGCGGTCCAATGGCTCTCTCCGGGCCCGCCCCCTCTGGCGCTGATTGGTCGCCGCGGCGCAGGCCTCGCCTTATTAACAAGTTCTCAGGGGAGCGGCGGCGGACCCGGAGCCGGCGAGTGTGCCCGGGAATTCGGCCTGCGCGGCGCAGGGATTTAGGCCCAGCCCGCCCGAACTGGCCTTGTGGGGGACCTGCGGGAGGTTCGCGCGGGAGGGCCAACCCGGCCAGGGTCCCGGGAGCTCGCAGAAACCGACCGCGCTCCCAGCCCGCCCGAAACCCATGCTCCGGGGCTGGCCCGAGCTGTGGCTGGAGGAGGGGTCCGGCTCTGCATGGCCCCGGCTGCTGCTATGACTTCTTTGCCACTCAGTGTCAAAGTGGAGGACTCCGCCTTAGGCAAGCCTGCCGGGGGAGGCGCTGGCCAGGCCCCCAACGCTGCTGCGGCCACGGCAACCGCCATGGGAGCAGATGAGGAGGGGGGCAAACCCAAAGTGCCCGCCTCGCTCCTGCCCTTCAGCGTGGAGGCCCTCATGGCCGATCACAGGAAGCCCGGGGCCAAGGAGAGCGTCCTGGTGGCCTCCGAGGGGGCTCAGGCAGCGGGTGGCTCGGTGCAGCACTTGGGCACCCGGCCCGGGTCGCTGGGCGCCCCGGACGCGCCCTCCTCTCCGCGGTCTCTTGGCCATTTCTCAGTCGGGGGACTCCTTAAGCTGCCAGAAGATGCTCTGGTGAAGGCCGAGAGCCCCGAGAAGCCAGATCGGACCCCGTGGATGCAGAGTCCCCGCTTCTCCCCGCCCCCAGCCAGTAAGTAGCCAGCCCTGGACGGAGAGCGAAGGGGCCAGGAGGGGGTGTGGGGCCCTAGGGCGCCAGGCCGCGCGCCGGCGCCGGCTTGTCTCGGGCGTCGGCGTACCTGCATCTGGGTACCTGGGAGGCCGTGCAGAGGTTGCTTTGGTTGGGAGACCGCCTTTCAAGCCTCTTCCCACTCCCACCTAGGAAGAATGTTAGAGGCCCAGAGGCTCTCAGAGGCAAGGCTCTCAGTCCGTTTTCGCGCGCTCCTTGCCTTGGCGCAGTGCCTTGGAGCGTGTCACTTCACTTGCAGCGCGCGGGTGTCTGAGCACCCTCTTATTCTTCCGGTTCCCAGGACGCCGGGGTTCCCTGCTCCTCCACCTTACCCTAAACAGTTATTTTGTACCCCGCCTTAGATGGGCGCAGCGGCCGGCACAACCTCCCGCTACGGAGTTTCACTTTCTTGCAGTAGAAGCCTGTAACACCCCCGTGCCCCGCCAGTCACCACTTAACCTCTCCAGAGGTTCCTGGGCTGTGCAAAACTCCTCCACCCGTCTAGTTCTAAGCAGATACCTGTTGTTGTGGGCGTGTGGATGATTTGGGGAGACGGGACAATCGCCAACTAGTGGAGAGAGGCGGGGCAGCAAAACAGCCAAAGTTGCTCCCCGTTAACCGCTGTGCTAGCTCCCGAGCGTGTTGGACCCAGCTTTCGGAGCGGACCCAGCAGCCAGCGGCGTGTTCCAGGACAGTCCTAAATACTCGCGGCCCTCAGGCTTCCTTTCCCCAGCGGACCCGCTTGAAGATATTTCAGGAGCACGGGAAATTCCCAAGTTTTCCTCGTTTCCTCCGATTATTTCGCACCACATAATAGCATTGCAAATTCAATGGCGTGATGCTGAGGAACGATTTTTATCTGGGGATTCAACGTCTTTGAAAAGACAGCCCCTCCCTGAGCCTAATGGTTGGCTGGCGAAGGTGGCCCAGAAGCTGGGCTGTTGCTGCTGACCACAGTGACATTTCCCTGTGAACCCTCCCATCTCTCAGGCGGCCTGGTGGAAAACGAGTCTGGGGCCAACTTCTTCCCGGACTTACCCGTGGCCTGAGCTGGCTTGGAAGAAGGGGAATAACTGGAGATTTCATTTGACTCACATCCTGGTGGTCTGAGGGCCCAAAGGGTCTTGTTTGTTTTTTGTTTTTCTTAAGTGCTAAAAAAAATCATAGTTGGGCAAAACCCCGAATGCTGTCCTCAAATTTCAATTCTATTTCCAAAAGGAAAAGCTTTTGCAGAGGCATCCTCTTTGAGGCGTGGGAACCTGGTTTACAATTTCAGTCTCTAGGACCCCCAAATCAAGGCAATTGTCAGTGTTATGTGTATGTGTGTGTGATGGGGGGGGGTTGTTGACACTTGTTTTATCCCTTAACAGTGTTGTCAGGCACTGCAGGGGTGATGAAGGACTGAAACCAAGTTCCCTGACTAGGCCTGCCCTCCAAACAATGGCGGCCCTCTGTTGAGACTTAACCTTTTCTTGGAAAACTGGAAGAAAAGACGGGTGGACATCACCAGTCTCATCAAACCGAGCCACGGATGGAGAACCATCACCCTCCCCCCCACACACACACACGTACACAAACACGCTGAGCTTGGTGTGGTCCTAGAATTTAGAACTCAGGCACTGCATTAGGAGAGACTAAAAGGGAAACCGAGAGGACCGAAAAGGGCAGCACCCTCTAGATAAACAGCCTCATACGTATCTTAGAATTGTCACAGTATGACCTCTTGGGTGGCTCTCTTCTTTTGATTGGCCCTGGTGCCCGGGCAGAAGCTTGCTGTTTGATAAAAAAGTGTGGAATTGCCAAGATCCATTTTATATGATCCAGAGGCCTAGCCCCAACGCGGTGCACTTGGTACGGACAAATACAAATGCATGTCTAAGGTACAAAACCCAGTGTGGCCTTGGGTTGGGCAGAGGGATCCTGAGTGTTTTATGACCCCCTTAGCCTTCATCTTCCCACTGGGCGAGGCCTAGTAGAGGCCGCCGGAGCGGAAGGCCTGACAGGAAGGTAGGTTGGCGCTGTCTCTGCCCAACTGTCTTTCAGCGTTGAACATGCTTAGATTTCATCTGGCATCTTAGCAGGCAAGAACATCTGCCCTTCAAGTTGGGTTACAGCCGGAGAAAATATTTTTCAAGTGCCCGTAGCGCCCAGTACATAGGCGCCTGAGCGAGCGAAATCAATGCCTGGGATGGTTTCTGTTCCCTTAGTAACACACTCCAGGGAGAATCTCCTAACTCCTTGCCTTTTTTCTCTCTCCCGGCCCTCTAGGGAGGCTGAGTCCCCCGGCCTGCACCCTACGCAAGCACAAGACCAACCGCAAGCCAAGGACGCCCTTCACCACCGCGCAGCTGCTAGCTCTGGAGCGCAAGTTCCGCCAGAAGCAGTACCTGTCCATTGCCGAGCGCGCCGAGTTCTCCAGCTCGCTCAGCCTCACCGAGACGCAGGTGAAGATTTGGTTCCAGAACCGCCGCGCCAAGGCCAAGAGACTGCAGGAGGCCGAGCTGGAAAAGCTGAAGATGGCCGCGAAGCCCATGCTGCCGCCCGCCGCCTTCGGTCTGTCCTTCCCTCTCGGCGGCCCTGCCGCGGTAGCCGCAGCCGCGGGCGCTTCTCTCTACAGTGCCTCCGGCCCTTTCCAGCGCGCCGCGCTGCCCGTGGCACCCGTGGGACTCTACACCGCCCACGTAGGCTACAGCATGTACCACCTGACATAGGTGGGTCCAGAGTTACCTGTCTGTGGTGCCAACCCCTCCCCCCCAGCCACCTCTTCTAGCAGCGGGAGTCCTTCTTAGGAAGCTCTGTTGCCCAACACCACTTGGCCCCCTTCTCTTAAAACCCTTGATACAGTTCCTCCTTCTCCCTCGTCTGACCCCTTCTGGGGAAAGAAAGGGTCTAGACTCTTCACGCGCCAGTTATAGATGTGGAAACTTAGGGGTACAGAGGCCAAGAGACTTATCCGTGGTCCCCAGCAGAATTAGAGGTTGAAGGAGGCCAGAGGCCAAAAGGACTAGAAGCTATGACTCCATCAGCTGCTTCCGGTCCTGAAACAGGCAGGGCTTGCACAGAGAAACTGCTGTTCGGTGGTGCTTCGGGAGATAAGCACAGTCGGATAGAAAGCAGGGAGCCCAGCTCCTTCCACTGTCAAACTCCAAGCATTTTGGCAGCAAAACATTTCTCTGAGGGGCAGGGCGCATGCTGGTGCTCTACGAAGGTGAAGGTAGGTTGAAGAGACTTTCCCAGGACCAGAAAAAAAAAAAAAGTAAAAAAAAAAAAACAAAAAACAAAAACAGAACAAAAACCAATCTGTTTCTATTTAACAGTACATTTTCGTGGCTCTCAAACATCCCTTTTGAAGGGATCGTGTGTACTATGTAATATACTGTATATTTGAAATTTTATTATCATTTATATTATAGCTATATTTGTTAAATAAATTAATTTTAAGCTACAAGAAATGATGTCTGCAGATTTAGTTGTGTGTTTTACGATTCCTTCTCTTCCCATGTACAATTGCTTTCCGGTTTGGTGGTATTTTACACTGGCAACTTTCAAAGGTGACAGGAGGATTACGGGAAGCATCTTTTGCACACATAGGAGAGATTTGCATTAACACAGTCAAATGGAGAATTGGAGCAATTACCTAGGATAATTAGGCTCAATTTTCCAATTCACTTTAAGCTGAAATTGACACTGGCTCTTTCCACCCATAACCTAGTCTCTCTCTCTCTCTCTTTTTCTCCTCCCCTTTCAAACTGTCTATGAAAACAAAGTGACTTGGTCCAAATGGTTTGATGACTGTCAACAGCTAATCCAGACAATTTCTGTTCCCTCAAACCTGTTTTTCCTACTGAAGGGGCAGCGGAGGGGAAGGGATTCCTCTAAACAGCCACCGGTGTAGACACCAGGTGTGGAGTTTCATTTTGAGCTACCTGAAGAGCTTTTCACAGCTAGCCCAGACTGATAACAACACACATACATGCAGCTACACAGAAGAGCACAGAAAACCCAGGGCTGCCCTGTACTTGGCCCCAGCTTTCCTGCTTTTAAAAAGTGGGTTTTTCTTTTTACATAGTCAAGTTCAGACTTCCAAGAAAAATATATTCGGGTAAGTTCAAGTTTAATCTTCTGGGGGAAAATTCTGCAAGGACGTGAAAGACAGAAAATTGTCCCTTGGTAAATCAAGCTTAATATGCTCCTCTGCATAGTTTTCTATCTGTAGGGTCCTGACCACCCCCCTTAGGGGCTTCCCTCCACCAGTCTCTGTCTGGCGGGGACTTGAATATTCAACTTCCATGTAGGAGAGCCCTGGGCAACCTGAGTCCAGAGCTGTCAAGAGGGGAGAACCCAGAACCTGGTATGGGACTTGAGGGAGGTGTGAATGTCTCTGCAGTTAAAGTAGAAACTGTTTCTGGCCCCAAGACTCAGATTGGCCTGGGAATTTCGTGGGAGACTAAGGTTTCCTGGGGACTTTGAAGGGTTCTGCCCCGGCCCCAAGCTACTCCAAAAGTACCTTGGTCATGGGTCCTCTAGTCTGCTGTAGCTGGAATTAAGGTTCTGTTTCTCTGGGTATTTGTCACACCCTTCTCCCTAAAAGAAGAAAGAAAGAAAGAAAGAAAGAAAGAAAGAAAGAAAGAAAGAAAGAAAAAGAAGAAGAAGAAGAAGAAGAAGAAGAAGAAGAAGAAGAAGAAGAAGGTGGTCCTTGGATCTAGTTCTAGGACAGTCTGGAGGACTCTGGGAAGTGACTTTCAGTCTCTGGGCATCCAGAAGCAAACCCAGGACCTGCCTTTTGGTGGAATAATCACACCAGCAGGTTGGGATCACGCACCAAATGCTCCGTAGAGGTACTTGGAAGCTCGGTGTTTGTGAAAGCTTCTTGCTGTCGTTCACATAAGTTAAGCAGTTGAGGGACAGTCCAGTCCAGTACACCCCGACTCCCTGACACCATGACCGCCATTCCCGAATCTCCTGGGTTTCTTTCTAGATAGCCACCGGAGATGGTCAGAATCTATCTCCCATGGGCTCCTTGATGGAGCCTGTCTCAGTGCCTATTTGACCTTTTCGTAGGCAGGGTCATGCCATCTTGCTGTACCTAGGTTTTTGTTTTTCTTTTTGTTTTTAACTGGGAAAATGGCCCAGAAATCCTCATCACCCCTGCTCTTAGAATCTGGGGAAGTGTTAACCCGCTCGGCACTGCGCACTGCGGGGCTCGTAGAAGATTGCTGGCATAGAAGAGTCTGCGTTTTCAACTTGTGAGGTTTTCTCAGCGCAGGAGTTCTTTCCCTAACTCAGAATAGAGAAATGGCGGGGCAGGATCCTGTGTCTCCTCCGGCCCATGCTCCGGGGCCTCCTGGCTCCTCTGAGTTTAGCAATTTAGGGTCGAGGCAAATTTAGAGCAACATAATTGCCGTAATGAGCAACGGTTCGCGTTCTGCAGGCGCGCCGTGGCTCCAGCGAGGCGGTTGCTGCGGGCGAGGCGGGCGGGCCTCCTGTTTCCCTTCCCGAGCCTCCCTGGGACCCCCTCCCACAAATGACTTGGCCTTTGGAGGCAGTCTTGGGTCGGGGTTTCTTCTTCCACTACTGGGTCCGTTCGTTTTTCTGTTTTTATTTTATTTTATTCAGCCCTTTCTTAGCCCAATTTCTCATCCCCTAATTCTTTTTCTAGACCGGTGCGTTCACAGAAAGTGCTCAATAGATGTTCACTTTATGCGAGCAGCCCACCGATTTGAGGTACAGTTTTTTTTGGAGCCGCTTTAAACCTAGCGAGGCAGAAACGCGTGGCTGGGGGGGGTGGATGCCGCTTCTTACTGTCGGTTCTGAGGCTTGTTCCTTGTCCGTTCAAACGAGAGCGATGTCTCCGTGGGTCCTTGGCTAGGTCCTTTGCGGATCAGTTTCCTGATCTAGCTAAGAAGCCCTCTCGATAGAGGAAGAGGTGGGTAAAGGATTCACCGTCTAGCACGCTGGAAGGCTGTGATAGAGGAATCTGTTTCTTGGAATCTAGAGGGTGTTGGGTACGTTACAATGCGTACTGCTTCACTTCTCCGCTCAAACCCAGAATTCTACAGCCTTAGGGGACTACTGCGGCCCAGAAGGGTGACGGGACACACAGCTAATGAAGGAACAGAGCGGGGATTCGAACTGATTTCACTCGGAACATACGCGTTCCCGAGCACAAGCCCAAGTCTCTGTAGCTGAGGGTCATTGAATGCCACGACAGTTCTCACACAAAGTGTGGGTGTCCCAAGAAGCCATCCACGTGTAATCTGGACCCCAGTTGTGACTTTAACCATTTTCCCATGACCACACACAAGCACGGTTCCTCGGGTCCTAAAAGGGATGTCTTCCCTTGCTCGGCAGGCTATCTGCACTGGAGTTTTTTTTT